TTTTTTTATTTTTATTAAAAATATAAAAATTTATCTACATATTATTTTATTTATCCATGTCATCATTATTTCTAGTTAAATGATCTATATTATTATTTTTTTCCAGTTAGATTATACATGTCATCAAAAAATATAAAAAATGCCACATAAATGGAGTTAATGGTTTAAATTGATGAAAGTATCAAAATTGTGCAGTTGTTAAAGTTAAAGGATAAAAAAAAGTGCAAAAAATAGTTTAAGGACTAAAAAAGTGCAAAAAATAGTTTAAAGACTAAAAAAGTATAACTTAATTAAGTTGAAGGATAAGAAAGTGCAATTTAATGAAGTTAAGGGACAAAAAGTGAAATTTAATGAAGTTGAGAGACAAAAAAGTGTAACTTAATGAAGTTGAGGGACCAAAATTACAATTTAATCAATTTTTTTCAAGTGGCCGGTGTGAAGTGTGACGGAACATTAACGGAATAATAGGAGATTTGACAAAAGTTAGTTTTCCGTCCAATTGGGACCTTATTTGAGAATTTCGTGGAGTTTGAGACCTTCATTGAGTGCAATCAAAGTTTGGGTCCAAAATTGCGAATTTGGTGTAAGTTAGGGTCCTTATGTCATATTTTTGCCATTAATTAATGATATTATAAGTCAATCAAGTCAAAGGCCGTCGCCTATGTTGATGGCCAGAAAGAAAAAAGTCAACGACTGTAGGCATCAAAGGAAAACTCTTACTAGCAGATACCTAAAGATTTCCTCGACGCCCTTTCGATGGAAAAAAGTTTGATGCTCATCACTTCAAGAAATTAAACAGAACTTGATTTAGGCAATTTAATTCTTTTCCTTACGATTGACTTAACGCATGTTTATGCATTACTTGTGTGGACAAGGTCAATACCTACAACGTAGGTAATAACATGTCAATACTTTGTCCATGTAAGTGAGGCACAAATGGGTGTTAAGCTTGCTGTAAATAAAGGGGGTTAAATTACCAAGATTACCAAATTTAGGGGGTTTATTTACTTTAATAAAAGTTTAGGGGCTTAATTGAGAATATGGGATAAGTTTGGGGCTTAATGTAGGGTTTTACCTAAAATAATTACCTATCTTCTTTTCATTGATAAAAGTTGAAGACACCTCATACATTGTACATGATTCATACATTACAAAAGAAGACATTGTGCAAGAACCTAGGGTTCGTAATTCATGGCATTTTTTAATATACATAAAAACCTCTACTAAATATCATAGATTAAACTCTAAATTTTGTTGAAAAAATAAAAAATTACCAAAACAAGTACAACAAAAAAATTCATCTACATCGATGTGGAATAGTGCTACGTCAGCAACTACATCTATGTGGAATGATGGAAGGGAAAGAACAAACTGATTCAATGCACATCAAATTACTATGGTTTGGGTTGTTCGTGATAAGGCCTTATATGCACTAGTTGGGGAGTTGAAGGGTTTAATTGCAATATTTTTAGTTCAAGGGCTTAAATACTAATTTGGGGCAAGTTTAGGGGCTTTGGGTTTTTACTGGCATAAAAATGTCATACAACTAGGAAATTCAATTGAAATGCCAAGAATACATTAATCTCTGATAATAAACAGGTAAAACCCTATGTTAAGCCATTGAACTTATTTCGAATTCTTGATTAAGCCTTTGAACTTTTATTGAAGTGAATAAACTCATAAAATTGGTAATTTGAACAATTTAACCCTCTTTATTTATGGCAAATTTAATACCTATTTGTGCCTAGTTTGCATGAACAAAATATTGACATATCATTGTCAACATGGCAAGTATTGACCTTATCCACGTAAGGCAAGCATAAACAAGCATTAAATCTGTTATAAAGAAAAGGATTGAATTGCCCAAATTGAGAATCTCGGATAAATTTAGGGTCTTAACGTAAGTTTTGCCTAATAAACAACTTAGGTTTTTTATTATTAAAAATAAATAAATAAATAAACACATTTATTTATTATAAAAATATGAATTTATATAAAGTTTGGTATGAAAAGTAGCGTGGCATAATAATGCTCATTAAACCATATTCAGTTGGCCTAGTAACCGAAACTAGTAGGGATATCATAATTGGGAATAGGCCTTTTTTTTCACTCCATGGTTCAGAATCTAATTTAACAGGACAAGAATAAATTGTGTAAGGTTGGAATATCCTTCTACTCCTAATAATAAAAAATATTATTTAAAAAAAATTAATTTAAATTTTAAATTTTATTTATAAGATCATATTTACTTATTAATAGATTCGATCTTACCAATATATCCGAGGAATTTGCATGCAAAAATGGAGTTTAGCTACTAGAACGAGTCTACCAATGACACTACTGCAGGAATGGGATTTCCGAACCGAAACATCGGTCCGTATATATAGGAAATCGGTCTGAATATATATATCCGGACCGATATTGGTCCTTATAGTTGATCCGGAAAAACCTGGTACGAATAAGTCTAATATACAGACCGACGCACAATCGGTTCGTATATATATAATATTCGGACCGAAATCGGTCCGTATATTTCAGTAAGAAATTTAAATAATTATTGAGAAATTGAAATAAGCGGACTGAAATTGGTCCCAAAAAAATAATATAATAAAATAATAAAATATATACGAATCGACAACGGTCTGTAATTGTGGGGGGAAGAGGCATCGCAAATATATACGGACCGGTATCGGTCCGAATA